TTGATACTCGCAGTATTATTATTAAAGCAAAAAAGAACCATACGAATAATGTATAAAATCGTTAGCTATCGTGCATGGCGCATTAAGTGAATTAGTAATAAATCATAGTCAGTATTGTCCCCGATTTTACGCGCGACTGAAGCCATGTCCGTCCCAATTAGGCCGGATAACTGCTGGCAATTTGTCTATAGAAAACCAACGTACGCCTCTTTGTCGGAAGATTGTAACGAGGGTTAAGATTATGGTCGTAATCATGTAGCCAAGCAAGATTATAGTTATGTTTAATGGTATGTTTTTTAAAGTGCCCGTTTTTCGGATTCTTAATTCGCCTAAGAAAAATGTAAGTTTTTGGCTCTCGTAAGATTTTATGAATTGTAAATAAATAAATATTAGGACCCTCGAAATCTCAGTCTCGCAGTTATTTTTCTATTTTTTTATTTTGATAAAGTTGTATGTCTTTTTCTGTACAGAATGTAGTTTAAGGTTTGTAGGAGAAACTTAAGATTTTACAGCCTCTTATGCAGGCTATGACAAAAACACTTGATGTGTGAAACAAGTAAGTAATAGCGACAAAGTACGGAAATTGTCAGGAAAAGTATATTTGTTAACGGAAATGATACTTTGATACAAGTAAAAAGGGTCAGAAAATCTTCAGATCCTTGTCACATTTCATAACACATAATTTAATACATATAATTCATTTTATCTGAAATGTGATAATTAGCGCGAAACATATGTCAGTAATAGATTTAATTTTTTTGTGTATATTTCACAGTATTGGAGTTATTTATTTATTTCACAGTAAAAGTCGAGATATATAGGGAGATTTTTTGAGCAGTGCCCAAATTTACACAGGAGGTTCAGACTCGGTAGTATAATCATTTATTGAAATAAAAAACAAAGTTTTTTTTTACAAAAAAATGCCATTCTATTCCCTAAAAAACAAAACGTGTTGACAATGTGGTAATCATTCATAAATACATAAATTTTACTGTGCATGAACTTGTGTTCGTGTTAGTTATGAATGATCGCGCGTACAATAAATGAGTTGCGTATAAATCAGCACTTTTTGAGATAAGTTCAAATGAATGTAATTAATTACTTACGAGTGATTTTAAATATTTATCGTTTTTTATCAAACATTATTTATGTCTAGAGTTTAATAAAAAAATGGATACACTTAGAAAAGCCACCCTGTATAAATTTTTATATTAATGTTTTATAGTACTAATCTCTGGACTTAAGATGAAACATTAAATGTTTGTAGAAAAAATGGATGAAAAGTTTTTCATCGCTGGGCGTCGTACCCGCGTCTTTCAGAATTGCGCTCCGGCTAAGCTACATGGTTGATAGCCACGCCAACGAAACTTATACGAGATACGTTTACAAAAGCCAATTACTTGGCTTATTTTAAATTTCTGTTGTTACTAATAATTACTTTTGCATATTCTGTCGGGCTTTTTAATTTTTATTATATCTTATTATAGAGAAATCCACTCCCGGTTAAGGCATGTCAACTAGCTTTTTTCTCGTACAAGCATAAAATCGTCTATTTATGGTGTTTGATAAATAGCACCTGAGAGACATGTAAAAAGTTGTGACTCCCATAATTTCATAATTGAAATTCTTGTTCGCTTGGACGATTGTCAGCCATTTTCTCACGGGCCGTCTTGTTCGTGGACTATTAAGTAGTCGTTGGAATTTGCATCCATAATCATTCTATATCCATCTCACTCTGAGATATGTAGTTACGGAGTGAAGGAAGGGAAACGCCCGCGAATGCGAGCCTTCACGATAAATTTTATAATACGTAAGAATTTTTAGACATGCTTTAAAAAAGCCGAGTTGAATTATTAAGGATAACCACCGTTCCAACCGGTTCTCTGAATGGTTTATTGCTTTGAATACGCATTGGTTGCTTTTTGTTTATACGAACAAATGTGGAATAATAGTGGTCTTTTGAAGTTGTGTGCGACTGATATTGGGGCTTTAAAACATAACGATTCTACAGCATATCCAGCTCTTAAGTTTTTTTTATCAACTTGCAGGAGGAATGGGAGATAACGAAAGATAAAACTTCGTCTTTTTCGTCAATGTCTGTGCCGCCTGCCAAAATATAGACCTATTTAAGAATATTCTTGTGATGAAATTTATAGTGTAAATTAAAATGCTGTTACTCAATTGTAATTTGTAGATAATGCTTATTTGCTTACGATTAATATGACATGCGTATGATAATTCCATAATTACTATTTCTTATTCGAAATAAATATCAGGAAGTCGTATGTGCTAGTTTTACATATTTGTCGAAGTTCATGAGGTAGTGGCATGATGAATTACGTTAGTCAGATACAGTTTATTTCCAGTTTGGAAACAATTTTGTAATCCCTACAGTAATCTTTAACGGACGCATTCCGAATATATTAGCCAAAATAAAACGGTCCGACACTAAATTTATAACCTTTATCGGGCAACGAACTCTCATATATGCTCAACGGTCTCATGAAATCAACATTGGATCTAAGCGGTACAAAATTACTTCAACAAAGCGGGTCATTACGGAACAGCTCTCGATCTTTAATTATACGATGTTTTTTGATTATTTATGCTTAACTAACTCTGTTGACAAACAATGTTAAAATATAGAGCATAATAATTTCCGGTAAGTAAACGTCAATTATTTTTTGTTTTACTAAGCACTCATTAACATTAAACATTTATCATTTATCCGAACTTTACTTGAGCAATATGTACGATAGGGGATATGTATATTTATTAAAATCGCACTATTTCTTCACATTATTTCTTATGATATCTCCGGTGCTTCCAATGTGTCGCCCTGTTTAAAAAACTCTAGACCCAAGCCAAGTTATGAAATTTAAAAACGGAATAAAACTCCACAGAAGCGTCTTTCCCCAGACTTCGTACTTTTCAAATAAATCACAGAGGGCGTAACGCGCAGAGCGTTCTGCCGAAACTTGTTCTATCAATCTTGTCATCCGTACAATGCGTGACAGTATTAATATTAAATACGTGAGCTCATGTCAGGAACATTCGCGCCTTCGCATCCATCATCCGAAGCTAACGGTCACAATTCTTGGAATAGTTCGAAATCTTAGCGGAGTTCTTTTGGAATAATTTCATTGTTCAAATGATTCTAGGAGTACCGCAAATTATGAAAAAAACTATGGCTTGTATAACTTAAAAGAATTGCCTTGCCAGGCAAGTCTTTTAAGTTATAGTTTTATAGTGTCTATATTTACTAATATTCATGTTTTAAAGCTATCTAACGTCTAACGATGTCTAATGTCTCATTGTTATGTATTTGTTCAAATGAATGTTTTGTTCCTAGTCATTTATTAACCGACTTCAAAAAAGAAGGAGGTTTCTCAATTCGACCGTATAAATTTTTATTTTTTATTAATGTGTGTTCGCGGATAACTACGTCGTTTATCAACCGATTTTGATGATTCTTTTTTGTTGGAAAGGAGATATCCCAAGGGTGGTACCATAATAAGGAAACCCGGGATCTGATTATGGCATCTCAAAAAAATCGAGGACAATCCTCAAATGTTATAGGTGTTCACAATGTTTATAGTATCCTGTTTGAAATCGGTTTTCTTTTTTGCTGAAAATTATACCTATTTGAATAATTTAAAATGAGATTTGATTTTATTGAATTTCGGAAGAAATTAGTTTTTGCGTGATAGATAATAAATAATACTTGACTGTTAGAGTTTTGAAAGAAGATATAAATATTTTCATTCTTGTGAGAAAAACGGTTTTTCCTGTCTAGGAAGCGTAATAATGTTTTTTAGAATTTTCACCGTTATGTGTCTCATTCAACGTATACTACCTCATCGTATATCTTCGAAGCTAAGAATTGTTCAAGAATTATGTAAGAAAGACAGTTTGTAAATACCCTATTAACGAAGTAAGTTATTCAAATATAATTTATGTATTTCTTAGTAGTACAATAACCTCTTCGATCAGTGTTATATTAGTTCAATCGTTGAAATCTGTTAGAACTGTTTCGCAAAAAGTAAAACAAATGGGCTTGCATCAGATTTTTGTTGAGTTTAAATTTATGTCAAATATAAATATATTTAGGCAATATAAATCAAAAATAGATAATAATCATAGCAAACTTCATGTCTCACAAACAGCTAAAACCCATAAACCTCGCGCTGATTGAAACCGAAGCAGAATACGTCAAGATTGAAAGATCTAAATCAGAAGAGTCTTTGTGAGATTTCAATGTGAAAGCAATTTGTGAGGGAGCAAAAATCCTCGACAAGTTCGCCGTCGCTTGTTATCTAACTTTGCATGAGATACGCAAATTTGGAGCGCGTTGTGGTACAATTTTCTCGTATCAATACTTGTTTGGATTTTTGTGAATTGTTGACATTATTAAATGGAATTTTGCGGTTCAATTTTCCAAGAAATTTTGCGATATAATCTACTTAATCTAAAAATGGAAAAGTTTTTCTACTTATAAAGTTTGCGAGGAACGAGATGTTTTGTGCATACGTATCTCCCCTGATTTCATGTCAGAATTGTGTACATCTGACTTGAAAAACAAAATGTTAACTTGTTTAAATTATAAAGAAGATATACCTAAGCGGCTCCTTTGGCGTTTGAACGTTTTCTTAAGAGTGTTTTATAAGAAATATTATTGAAACTTAGCTTTGTTTCTAATTCGAAGATATAACACGGTAATCTGTAAATAGATTTACAAAAAACCTTTCTCCCGTTACAATCTGAGCAACGTTACCGTTACTCAGATTATAACGTGTTACCACTTGATATAATACTAATATAACAGAAGTACAATTACTTGTTCAAAATACAAAACGCATTACGCATTCATTTCCACGTACAACGTGTCGAAGGCTAGTAAGATCTCGTTACAGATCTATGCCAACAATAACAAAGGTGAGCCAATTGGAGCTCGCAATGAAGTAACGAAATAACTTGGAAATGTCAAAGCCTGCTGGCTAGCGTTCGACCTCGCTCCCACTCTCGAGGCAACGGTACTCGTGTCTCGGCCGACGCGGTTGCGGCTGGCTCCAAGCCACTGGGGTCTGTGCCCTCAAGCCGACTGTCAATGCGTCTTTGCGCGCGCGCAAGTTGTCGAAAGCACGATCTTAGGTTAAAAGAAAGAATATTTCTATTCGACATCAAACTAGTGCGTCACATTTAAAGTGCTGAAAGTGTGCTCTTTGACTCGTTTTTATGTCGCCTACCTGCTATCGACGCTACGTGTGATTTGTGAAATGTTGCGAATTGTGAAAAATTCAAGTTTGCGCTACGACAAAGTGCTCTTTTATCGAGTCTGAAGCTGCCCGTTTGTGAATTCGCGTTTTAAGGACTCCGCTAGAGTGGACCGGAGGTAAGTTTGAGTGGGAATTTCCTCTAAGTTCCTTATCAATATGAATAAGCTCTAAGATCTCGTCAAAACTCGGTCTTAAGAATAAATTTGTTTTACAAGACGGTCGTTACGATCTCTTGAGGGAGACGGGCCTGAATAAATGAATGTATTGTCTTGTTAATTAAGTTGGAATTTCGTAAGACAAGCAAGCCACAGTTCCTAATTTTCTTCATTTTTTTCCCGTTTCCATCCGAATAAGTTTTGCTAATTTCCAAAATTTACATGGCTATAATTTCCTTCTTTTCATATATTTTAAAAAATAATAAATATTTAAAACATGTTTTTGCATTTAGCACACAAAGAAAGTAAAGTATCAGCCGAGAAGTCAAAGGCCTCCTCTGTACAGGGTATCAGGGCATAGTCCATCACGCGGCCCAATTGTGGATTGGCGGACTTCACATATCTTCGAACCTGCATATTTTCGAAATAATAATAAAAAATATATTTTATTATTATTTCGAAAATATGCAGGTTTCCTCACGATGTTTTCCGTCACCGCTGCTGAGCACGTGATAATTCGGCACTTAAAATTAACAACTTCATTGGTGCCGGCACCGGGGATAGAACTCAGGTTGCTCGAGTATATTAAATGAAAGGTGAGCGACTGGACACTGAGCTATCACGGCTCAATAGTACACAATATATCGGTAGGAAATTAAAAAATAATATAATAACAACATTTTGAATTGAACTAATTGATTTGACAAAATTGCTACAATACAAGTGTATTGTAGCAATAATAATTTAATACACTTGTATTATAACAATTTTTCAAATCGATTAGACGTAGATGTGGTATTTCTAGTCAAACTTGTAGCGAGATTTAAAGAGTTCATTCTACACGGGTGCGATTCATAATGTAGCAAAATATTTTTTTTAATAAATCGTACTTAAATACTATGTTTATACAAAGTTCCTGTAACTTATTTGAATTTATTACTTGCCGATTTAACCAAGAGTCTCATATGCTGTGTGTAAAGCAAAAACGAATCGTTTGGGTGAAATAAACGGTTACAGCTAACGTTTTCCTAAAAATAATTGAGACGGAATTCAATCAGTTGAACTGGTTGGTGTTTCAATGTTTTATTTTGAAACATAAGGTGCAAGTTTAAGGTCTTATGAAATCAAATGTTAAATGAGGCTCTATCGGACTGCAATTGCAATTCTATTCATTTATTTAAAACGAATTTACGAATTGGTCTGACACACGATGCTCGCTTTGCATCATCAGAGTGAGCAACGTCGGGGAAAAGTCGCGACCCTTCATTATTCCACTTTGACTGAGGCTGGAATTCCTTAATGCATTTATAGCCTTGCCTGCTTGTGTACACTGCAGTGATTAAATCGGTTATAGTAAGCATTTTATTCAGGTTAAGCTTTTAAAATATATTCTCGTTATGCCGTTTTACTAAATTTTTTCAAGCTTAAATTAATATTTAAGCTTGAAAAAACTTAGTAAATGAAAGATGCCGCATAATAATATCTTTTTTTTATGGAAAAAGGGGACAAACGAGTTGGGGGTTCACCTATTAGGAAGAGATCATCGCCATCCATAAACATCTGCTTGCCTTTGAGTTATTGTGTTGTATAAATATAAATAACTAAAACATACACTTTATGTACGATTGAAAGATGTAATATAAATTTTCTCTTTCTTTAACATTTTACATATGGCGTAACATATGTGCGGTTTAGTAAAAATCTTAACTAAAATAAAGGGATGGCATTAGTGAATTTTCGATTTTCACACTGAAACATAAGAGTGCATTTATTTTGAATACAATTTTTTTATGCCAATTTAAAAATATATAACGCCAATCTGTATCGTGTTATCATGAATGAAATAAAATTAAACAATAACATTTCCTCATGTTAAACATGGTTTCACTTAGCGCAAGCAAGGCAGACAAAAACAAGAATTTACTGTTCAAATAAATAGGTGCTGTGACCTATCTTGCATACCATCTCTAAGCGTAAGACAGCGAGTTTTGCACAAAAAATCTGAAAAATGGCGGCTACAAATAATGCAAACAAGGTTCAACGCGGCATGACCTCTTACATTGCTACACAATTTTTCCCACCGTAACAAGGAATCGTGATATTTTGCATAACCCCCTAGAATGGAACGATTTTTTACGACTGAGCAAGCGAGCTGTCGGCTTACCTGATGTTTAATGATAACAGCCCCATGGACATTTGCAACACCCGTGGGGCTGCGTTGCTAACTTTTAATAACGTGGGCCCCGGTTATCTCCATCTGCCGGTCTTCTGTGAGGCTGTGATAATTCTCTGCAGAGTCTGCCCATTGGAGCAACAGCGAAGACTGCCGCGTGGCCCTACCACAGTAAAATTACAGATGAACCTCGTATATAATTCGTGTATGTAGATTATTTATGTTGTTGTGTTGTTATGTAGCAAGTGTCCATGGGCGGCGGTGATCGCTTACCATCAGCTGACTCACTTGCTCGTTTGCCTCCTTTTTCCATAAAAAAATATGATATCTTCCCCGATTATATTTTTTCTTAAGAATATAATCAATTTGAAAAGAAATTTAAGAAAAATATTCTTGGAGCTAATAGTTTTTATAATATATTCCGGTAGCCTAGTATATAAGTCAAACATATTAAATTACTTATAAAGTAAAAGTTGTGTAATATTTTTTTGTATTTACGCGATTACACATTATACTAAATGAAACTATGTTTACGGATTTTTCGCGTTTATATAGTTTTCTTTTAATTTTATTTCCCAACGTTTTGAGTCCAAATTTTTCAGACATCGATCAAAAAACAATAAATAAACATAGTTTAATTTAGAAAAGTTGTAATTGGCTGTCTTTTGCTTTTATAATTTCGGAAAATTTCTGTAAAGGTAAAAAGAAATAGTACAAAATAAAAAGGCAACGTGCTTAAAATCGCGGCAGACTCGCGTTTAACGTTATCGTTAAACTTGCATATTTCATAGTACATTCTGATCACGCTTCACTTCATTCCTCACTCCTTTGACACTGCATTTGCTTCGTGCCGCCATTTACGCCAGCGTTTCTAACAAAATTCCAAAATTTCAGTTCGGCACCGCTTTGTAGCTCTCCGCGGTCTTACGTAAATTCTCCAATCAAGAACTACAGTGCTCTAAAAAAAATCAACGTCCGAAACGTAACCAGTTCGCTGTTATTCAACGACTATCTTACAAAAGGCCGTTATGCGCAGCGTGACGTTACGCGACTTCTCCCTAATAGGAGGACTTAGCCGCCGCGTCCCAATGATTCGCGTACGCTTCGCCGTTTCCTTTCGTGTTATCGGCGAGCATCCGTCATTGTCGGTGTGAAATGTGGCACCGTTTTTACGCCACGTGAGCAGCTGATATTTCACTATAATGTATCCTAATGCATACCGCGCGGCGGAAAATGGAACCGTCGGGGCGTCGGGCATCTTTTAACCGTGAATGGGCGGGGCGATCCGTTCGGCGAGTTTTATATGAAAATGTAATGCGATAAGTTCCCCCAGTTATAGGCGAGTTTGGAATTTAATCCGGGAAAGAAGCGGACAAGCGCCAAAGTTCCCGAATCGCTTGAGAGGCTCGTCGTTTGTTTCCTTCGATCTCCTTTTAATGTTTATGTAAAGGTAACTGAAATCGTATTAGATAAACAACGGTTGGTAAAATATGTCTCCATTGTTTCGAAAGTAATGTTATGTAACTTATTTTTCTGGAAATCTCTAAGATATTTATGAAACACAAAAGAATACGGGGACGTCTGAAGCAGATTTCAGTGCGAATAGATATAAACGGCTTCTTAAATATTTGAAATAGAGGGAATAAAGGACAAAAGATGTAATTTATTGAAGACGTGTACTAAATTATCTACTATAATTACAACAACATATTATAAGATTCGTAAAAAAATATTTTTATGAATTTCTCTGAGGTAATATTGAAATACAGGTTTAGCATCTGTATTAGTTATAAATAGAAGCTTAAACGTATCGTTATAGCTTCTATGTGTAATTTAAGTCACATTGTTCGTAATATTATACATAAAGATTCAGTTAGAAATTATAATTTCCTCTGAATAGATTATGAGGATATTACTTAACCTATCAACGGACTTAGTTAAATTCTCAATTTGCATAATATACGATTCATGAAAATTTTCGCTTTCTCAATGCCATCTGTCATTACTATTAACTTTTTTATATGTGAAAAGTTAGCAAGCCATCAGGCGGTTCACCTGATGTTAAGTAATTTCTCCCATGGACGCCGTTTTATTAAAAGGGAGCCCATACTTTTAAAAGTTCGCAAGTTCACTCACGCAAGTATTTGGCGAGGCCAAGGTTTCACTCCGGATGATCCTGCCCATTTGTGCAACAGTGGTAGCTGCTGCGTGGCCTTACCACATATAAAAGTTTGTGCAAATTGACTTATTAATTGAATTGATTTGTGCTAAAGCCAACTGGTTATGAATTTAAAGTCTGTTTAGATCAATATCGCAAGACGAAATATGTTAACAAAACACTATTTCATCGTGCGATATTTATCTAAATAGACTTAAGCACAGTAGAGAAATAGTTTATTCACCGATAAATCTGGCATGAAGATGACTGCTTAATGATTTATATTAAATACTTTACAAGATAATACCACCTCTGTAACGCTTTGTTTGACTTAAGGAAAGCCTTGTTAATTTTGTGTCGGCGCAAGTTAAACATGGCGCTTTAATCTTTCGCTTTAGGATTAACTGACACTCAAGACTGTGGAGTTCAGAATTGAATTCGGAATAACGCTTAAAATTAATCAAATTTAATCAGATATAATTAACGAATATCCCGCAGAGAGAGCTTAAGACGGTAAAAGCTATTTGCATATTGTTAGAAACGATCCCAAAAGCAATTTTGTTACGCATAAGCGAAGTTTTCTTCTGAAAGACTTCGAAGTTCATTTAACAGATTGAAAGAGATTAATTCCAGAATTGAAAAGTTTCTAAGAGGTGTTATTCAGAGCGATGAAGTGTTTTAATGGCTTAATATCGTGTGTAAATTTGTAGTCAATACTTTACGCTACCGATTTTAATAATAAAATAATGTAAAATCCTGCCTTGAATATATAAGGAGTTGGCTGTTGTATATAAGTGTAAACAGTCTATGCATATCTAATTTGAAAAAAGGGATTTCAATTTAGACTACAGATCTGTATCAGTAGATATTTGTGTTCTATACCTTACATGCGGAGATTGTTACCAGTCTATTTGATAGCATAACGTATAATCTCTATTATTATACACTTATAGCTAGTGATGTACGTAATCTACCCGTTCAGCCGTTTCTAAGCCAGTTTCGGGGATTTAATGGAACAACATGACGTTAACAACGTCTTGTTCACGCAGTACGATATATTTGTTAAAAAAATATTGTCTTTTTATAGTTTACACTGTTCTCACTATGTATCATTATTCAATATTGATTTTATAAACGAGTAAAATATGACGACTGTCATACGGAGAATACCAAGTTCCACATGCATCATTTTTATAATATTTTCCACATAGTACACATACATTACACCCATATGAGTTACGTGTACTATTTAAACCACCGCCCACCTTGTCGATGTACATAATTACATATACGTCTCTATACATCTTATGCCAAGCTTTTCATAATTTTGCCCTATAGATTTCACGAGTCCTTCATCGATCCTTTCCACGAATTGAAGTAAGTAAGTAGGAACATAAAGAGAAACAATCATTTAACGAAGAATGAACTAAACCTAAAAGAAAGTGTTGGAAATAAAGCCTGAAAAACTGTGGTGGAGCCATGTATAATGTAGAACCTTATGCCGTTCCATAAATAGTTCGGCTCTTTCGGGGAAATAATTACATTTCGACTAGGAAGTTACATAATGACGGATGGGAATACAACTACATCCCAACTTTTGACCGTATGTTAGTAACGGTATTCGCTTTACACCAGGAAAGCCTCTTCTTCGTTTATCACCTTCTACCGTAAAGTAATAAGTATTATTAATTAAAAATTCTTAACTCACTTGCATTAATTTTGATTTAAAATTCTCTTTCTTAACAAACGACGGAATAATGAAAAGAAATTTTTTAAATACAAATTTCTATATTACATTTAATTAGTAATCATTTGTGTGATTATTGTGATGTGGTTATTATCGATATGCTGATAGAAAATATTAATACTAGTTGTTCCGTTATAAATTGCTCTTACTTAAATAGAAATTAGTTATACAATTGCCGTAGCTACATCTAGTTAATGCATTCTGTCGATACGACACGCTCTCATAATCTAGTAAATCGAAGCCGCGTTATACTAATCACATAGTTGAGTCAGCACCTATTTACAACATTACCACTAACATTATGCACTATTCGTATAACTAACACAATAACTCAAGCTTTATAACAATTATCGGAATAACAAATCAAATAACACCCGATCCAATATTAATTGTGTGTTGTGAAAAGAAATTGATGTGACAGTCCAACAGTTGGACTCTATGAAAGAATTTGTGATGACTATTATAGACTCTAACAGTGGGGCCTAAGAGTTTTTTAATACACATTTTTTGTAGATATTTTGAGTGCACGTAACATGAGGAGAGGGCATTTATTATAAAACGGCCACCCCTGTCAACATGCTTCTTTATGACTAAGCCCTTCTTATACTTTGTAGACTTGAAGTACACCTTAGTTTCCTTCCCGGATATTAAACTATTTAACCCCCATCCCGGAAATTAAGCTGTCTAACGACCACATCAAATCCTGTTCCTCATTCTTTACACGATACGCGCTATAATAGGGATTGTCGAACAAGACACGTTCTTATACAAAGTTTTATACATTGTACATCCTTTAAAATTGTAATGTTTAATATGCCTTGTTATATGTTATCATATCCAATATTGGTGCAGAGTTCGAACCTTATGTTTGTTTGTAACTAAATTGTAAAATTTTGGTCGAGCGAGTAAATAAAACGTAGGTAGTGTGGGACGCCCTGCAGCACGATAGGCTGACACCTTAAGAAAGGTGGCGGGCAGCTGATGCATGCGGGCTGCCTAGGACCACTTTGGCGCACTTTGGGGGCGGCTTACGTTCAGCAGTGGACGCCAATAGGCTGATATTGAGTGAATAAAATATGTATATGAAAAGAAAATTTAGAACTATAGTGCATAATATTAATAAAATTAAAGAATATGAAATTAAATGGGTGTTTTGAACTCTATTAATGCATGATAGTTAACTATACGAGGGATGGTAAGCATGAAAATTTCCTCAACGGTCTGATAAGCCACACAGTTAATATAGAAGTTATTTAATAATCAATTTATTTTGTGATAAATATTTTTATATTTTTCATTTTATCTAGGCAAAGCGCGTTAAATTTTAAGCATTAATATAAGATTTTAATATCGATATTCCATATTGTAAAACTTAAACTATTCCTCTAAGAAATTTCGGCCTACCGTCACCTTTTGAAAGTGTTCAATGATGGGAACTTGAAAGTAAAGCTAGACACGACAAACATCGTAAGAAGAGTCTATTTTTATAACGTTTAGTCTGTGTATCTTATTTTTATCGTCAGATTTGTTGAAATGATTATGCAGAAACATTGCTCTTCATGTTTATTCAATGCATCGACTACGTGAGGCGGTTAGGAATAAGCAAACGAATCGTTCTATGCAATAGTTAACGAATAGTTCATGCGATAGTTTGTTCGTAGTTTCTTAGCGTGTTATTCGAACGTCATAACTTTGCGAAGTCGGGCAAAAGCGGTCGTGACTGGCTTTTGTTATAGCGAACTCTCTATAAGTTGGTGGATTATCTCCATTGTATTAATACAATTTGTGAAATACGAACCCGAATATAGTTTTGCCGTGTTTCGAATTGCGAATCAATACCTTTACGAAAAAGTTTCTCTTTAAATATAAATTTATTTTGGCGCGTTTTGGAAAAATGAAAGGACTGAATTTTTACGATGCGCGACACCTAAAAGCGATACCAAATGTATGGTGTTACCATGGCAACCGATAACAATTTTTAACATTTACATGTAATTCTAAGTTTAATTTAACTGTTGAGAATTGAATTTAATGACTTTTTTTCATAAACAGAGAGTCAGTACTCTCTGTTCTGGCAAGCGAGACAAAATTTTTAGTTATTTTGATTTTATTGCTCTGAAGAATGCGTTTCTTATGTGCTTTTTTTACTTTAATGTTGCGTAGTACGACTAATATTGTCTAACAATCTAATACGGTGAAGTTATAAAATAAATCAACTGGAACAATCTTGACTTTTTGCAAGAAGTGAAAGAGGAAATAAATAAATCAGGCATTGGGTAGCATCGGGACGAACAAAACGCTGTGGTTGCCAATATCTTCGTCAGAAGCGCGACAGCCGTGACAGTCACATCCT